ATAACATAAAAATTTTTAATATTTAATTTTAAATAACCTTGGGAATCGAGCAGATGCCCCTAGGTATAGAGGAGCAAACAACAAAGCTCCGACTCCAAGTTATTAAAAAATATAAAAAATTAAATAACAATTCTAAAAAAATGTGTCAAAACAAGTTAGTCTACAAGTTCAATAAATTTTATGTTTTTAATTTTATTTCTAAAAAAGTTAACTATTAAACAGAATGTCTTGATGACACCTCATATATGTTGTCAAATAGAGACAAGAGCTTTGACACATTTTTCAAACAAAAAATTTCTTAAAATATGTTGTACGTTTCTTGTTTAGAGATAAATCATCAAGTCAATCACTGATGGCACCTCAGATGTGGATTATTTATTTACCAAGGATTTCAAGAGCTGAAGAAGCAATAAAATAGGAGTACTTCATTCATTTTTGCTATTACAGTTGCTCTTGGAGTATTTGAGGGTAAACGAGAAGACAAGAAAAAAGAAATTGGATATTTGTTGATATGTTGGAGGTGTAGCGTAGCCGTACAAAAGTATAAGGCCAAACTGATAATTACAAAACGGTTTAGAGTCGGACATCCAAAGGGAATAGTTGAACTCAACCACATTATAACCTCTTCCCAAGACCTCTCAACTCCTCAAAAAATTCTACCATTTCTCCCAACCTAAAATAAAAGAGCAAAAGAACACGCATGCCAAAAGATTATGCCCTTACCTCGGAAGGGAGGATTTAGAAGAACCTCCTATATCATAACACAACAATCTCTATTCCGCACCCTAGAAATCCCAAAAGTTGACACAAAACGATTCCATAAAGCCTAAGAATACAGACAACTCCATAGGATATGATCAAGGTCCTCCAACCCATCTTTACACAAACAACACCACTACATGCCCAAAGCAAAAGAGGACTACCTTTGAACATGATCTGAAGTGTTAACTCTTCCATGTAATACTTGTCACACAAAGAATTTAACCCGGATCTTAACCTTCTAAAGATGGGAGAAAGAAGATGAATCAGGAGGGGATGAGGGGATGAAGGGACACATGGGATCTGGAACAAAGAGCTACATGAGAAAGCCCCCAAAGGATGTAGGGTCCATAAACGGATGTCCCTCCTCCCTGGACACAACTGAGAATTACCCAAAAATGAAAGAAGATATACCACTTCTATTGTCTCCCTATTTGACAAAGGACGACAGAAGCTCAGAGAAAAATAAGGAAGAGCCCGAGTAGGCGATGACTAAGGCCTGAATGCGACCTCTTTTCCAAAAGTTAATACAATCGAGGAAAACAAAGCACAAAAAGGCTTATCCCCCACCCAACAATCCTCCCAAAAGTAAATATTTAACCTTCCCCAATATAAAATTTCACAAATTAAGAGGATAAAGGAAAACCCAACGATATAGCATTCCAAGAATTTTTAGAGATGCCCATGCCCATCGACCCCCAACCAAAGCCCACTCAAAAGGGTGCAAACCGTATTAACTCACGATAATCCTATGCCATAAAGCGTCCAGCTCCGTAAAGAAATGCAACAACCACTTAGCCAACAAGGTCTCATTACACAATCTCAGGTTACCAATGCCCAACCCCCTCAACTTCGAAGGCCATGAGACAATGTGGGAACCTCCCCCTTAACCAACTCCTTCCCATAAGAAATCTCTCATGATTTTATCTATATTTTTACTCACCGAGATTGAGATTTTGAACAAGGAAGTAGGTCGCCATTTCCCTCGGGACTTACTGGATGAGAGTCAAACCTCCCTCCCTCTTTAGAGAAAAGTTCCATTTTCCAAATACACTCCTTTTTAAATTCTATGAGTTTAGATTTCTTTGTTGAGAACTAGAGTTTTGCTTTCTTTTAACTTTCTTTTATAGGAGACTGTAGTTTCTTGTCCTTCTCACAAATATGTTTAATAATCATGAAACGTTAGATTCTTAAGAATTGGGGAATATACTGCACTTTTTACAAATGGCTAGCACGAATGAGAAATTTTCTTTTAAACCTTAACAAGAATGCTCCTATATATTTAATGGCTGAAGAAAAGAGTGTAATGATGAAGCTAGTTTAATGTTATCTACCAGAATGATAGTGTTCTCAGACCATATCTTTTACGTACCAATAATAAGGTGTGCCCATTTTCCTTGAAATGGCGAGAGGTACAATTCTGTAATGATCGCTTAAGTCGTTCAGCTTCATCTCTGCTTGGAACCATGTTATCCTTGCCACTGAAAGGCACAAAAAGTTCAAATCAATTATAAGAACATTGGACCAACTTTGAAATAATCAAATTCAGATTATTGAGTAAAATGATTTGACAATTTATTCCAATCCAAAATAAAGCAGAATTAGAACAGAGTCATTTTCGCAGGAAATAGTTCAGGAAAAAGCTGTTGATAGAAACTCCACTTGAGATTGAAAAGTAAAAGACTGGGCCTGAAACTGTATTACAAGAGATCAAAGACAAATACACTGAGTAATAGCTTTTTGAGTGGGCTATTTCTTTCCCATGAAAACTTCCCAAGTTACTGTTTAACTCTACTTTCCTAACGCACTATTTATAACCAACATGTCCTAACAAACGCATTATTTAGGGCCATTTGGTAATGTTCACATTTCTTATTTCTTATTTCCAGTTTTATTAAGAAACCTAAGCATTTGACAACTATTTATATTTCTTGTTTCTCAATTTGAGAAACATTCTCAAAATTATATAGAAATTTTAAAAACACACAAACAAGTTTCTTGTTTCTTGTTCCCATTTCCAATTTGTTCAAAAACATAAATAAAAATATAGTTTTATCATTCTTGAATCCATAGATGTTGGGGACATGCTATCCTATTTTTCTTCATTAAAAAGAAGGAAACGGAAATAAGAAACGGAAACGTTACCAAACGGACCCTTAATGACTAATTTTCCCCTTTATATAATAAAAACAACCATTTGATCCAATGTCTAACAGCATATCATGTTATGTTGGATAAGGTTCAATTAGTTAATCTAATGGATAGTGTGGGAACGTCGAACGATACTAAAAAGTTTCAAAAAACAATGCAATATATTGAGATATTTGTAGTGTTGTATTTAACACACCACTCACACCCATGAACACACACTCAGTTATGGGGAAAAACCTAGCAAGCACAAGTACTTCAGCTGTAACTTCATGGAGACGAGAATTAGCATAAGCTGCAGCTGATTTGAGCAGCTTCAGCTTCCAAAGAAGGGTATCCTTCGGTATAATGCTAGACAACTCCTGAAAATGGAAAAAATAAAAAAAGAATTCAACTCAATCACATTGCTCATGTAAGAAAATAACAGTGCCTAGGGCAAAAGGCAAAATAAGTCAATTTAGATTACCACAAGTAAACCCACCACTGCATTGCCTTATCTCATTGCAATGTGTAAGGTAGTTGATAGAAAAGCACTGCTACAAGGCATGGCTTGAAGTTATAATAAACCAACTTGCACTTTAGGAATATGGATATTGCTAAATATATAATTTAGTCCCAAAAGGTTGTCGCTCAATTTTTTAACAATTTTAGTTCCATCTATTATGTCTTGATTTTTTTCCTCGCCGATCAAGTCCCTAGTATTACTAAATATTAAAAGAAAAATGATGTGTGAGTTCAAAATAAATATTTTTCATGAGGTTTTCAGTTAGGAACATTTTGAATGATTCTTGGGTCAAGTAAGTTACTATGGTAAGGTTATACCAAGTATGTAGGCTTTTTATTTTCTAGGTGGACATATTCATTACATCAAATTAAAATAGACTCATTTAATAAAATATATTTTGACTTTTCATCATAGTACCCATTATCTAAAATATTTGTTGAGAAAATGAAAGTGATAAAAATAACGCGGTAGCAATAATAAAATTCTCAATGTTTGATGAACAACGAGGAAATATGAATGTATGAGAGTAGGATTCAATAGATGAAAAAATTAACTTCTATAATTAAAGTGATACAGGAATGTGGATAAGCAAATGAATACTACAAATGTTGGTGATACAAGAAATGTGGTACAAAATGTGGTGGTACCAAATATGTGGAGGTACAAATATTGTGGTGGTACAAACTTCTCAGGGAAGTTCACCCTTATATAGGTACAATATTTGGACCTATTTAGTAACCAGCCTACAATTTAAAACAACATTAAAAGGCTAGAAACTTATAAGTTATAAAACTGAAATCTAAAAGATAAAAACAGAAAATTAAATTTAATCTTTAAAGAAATAAACTTAAAAATACAAAACTGAAAATTTAAGGAAGAAAAAACCTCAAATGTCAACAATATTTAATCTTTTATTCACATTTTTAACACTGGCACGAGACCCAACAAGTGACTTGATATTAATTGGGAACAAAACGATATTACAAAAGTTTAAACATAAAACCTCTTATTTTGATACCAAGTTAAACTACCACTAGACCCAACTACTTAAGTTGATACGTTACGATAGATTTTATCCTTTATTTATACTCTGACAACAGAACCTATCTCCAAAATCTTAGTTTTTATCTCAGAATGCCCCTGCCATAATGGTCAAGAGCTTTTCTATTTTTAAAATATGATCTACTTTGAAAAGATAGGGAGCAATGGATAGTTATAGAAAAAACAACGTCAGTTAGCAACAGCATACTAGGCAGGAAATTATGGAGAGTGAAAAGAACAATTAGATGGAAAACTAAAATACATGACAGTAAGGGCAAATCAAAAGAAAGAAAGAAGAGGAAAAAAAAAAAAGCAGCCCTTCAGGTAGCGTACATCTTATAAAGTATTATTTAAAATGCACAGTTTACACTGTAACCAGATTCTATGAAAGAAAAACAAGCATCACATGCTACTAACCGAAAGATATGGTAGAAAAGCAGCCAGGTTGAGTGATAATTTTTCTAATTGCTGCATTGGAGGAAGCTTACTTTCAACATCGACTGTTGCCATTTTCACTGGTTCACCTGGTATAGCAGTAGTAATAAACATGGTTTTACATTTTATTCGTAGCTAAAACTACATGAATTGTTTAAGAAATAATAATAAATTTATATCCAAAAGAAAATTCAGGATCCTTACACTGCATCAAACTCAAAAGTGTAAATCTCATTAAAATAATAGTAATAGTAATAGCACGGGAAAGAGGTCTGAAATATTTTCTCAAGAAAAATGTTAGTTATGCAAATGACATGTTTTGTAGGTTATATCTGAAAATAAAACTTGAGGAAGATAAAATTATTAATTAGTAACGTTCCCAAGTAATTCTTTTTTGCATCCAGAAGAAGAAGTTACGCAAAAAGGAGGACATTCATCACCCTCCATCAGTCCATCCCCACCCTCAACCTAAAGAATCATGGTGACACGAAAATTAACAGAGTAAATTACGATATTAGTTTCAACATTTTCATCACACTTCAATGGCACGTTTTGGTTGATGGTGAAAGATAAAGACAAGAAAACTAGGAAGCAAACAGAGTACCCGAAACCATAGATCCTTAAAATTTTATCCTTTTGTCATTCCTTATGCGGAAGGTAGTAAGAAGAAAAGGCAATGAAAGAGTTTCTCGGGGACGGGCTGTGCCTTCCTCCACCATTATAGTACTGTCATCCATTACTATTGATCTCAATACTTGATTAGACCAATGGTGTGCCAGAAGGGGGTCAATCTACAAATTCAATTATAGCCACATTCTTTGAATAAAAATTGCCAATACAGCAACCAACCTTCCACAGGTCCACTTTTACCAATTCTTAGAGGAAATATTTCACCATCATCCTAGACGAGCTAACTTGAATCTGATCTTCAATAAGAGTGGTGGCGGGATGGAAGGAAAACATAGAAAGTGCAGCTAGATTTGCAATTATATGTCTTCTATCCCTAAACGAAGAAACCAGCAATTACTTAGACGCAGCAGTCCACTTACCCATAACAAAGCTAAGTAGATAGAGAACTGTTCCGTGCAGTACATCAGGCATAGCTTTTAACAACGGAACCAAGGGTTGCAATTGAGACCTACAAAAAGCTGTAGCTAATGGAAAGCAAAAAGCTGTCAGAATTACTGAAAAAGAACACGACCAAACAATGCCATGTGATTGCAAGAAGTTAAATTGCAAATATATATTTTTTTTTTATAAGAAACTGCACTTCCATTAAGAGAAATGAAAAATAGATACAAAAACAAGGAGGGCATACAAAAAACAGCCCTGCAAAAGGGAGCCCTCAAAGAAACAGAGTTAAATTGCATATATTAAACCAACCTGGATTCACTAAAATCAGAACAAGGTCAATTTTAGGATTACGAGAAGCAACAGCAAGGGCTAAGCATCCTCCGAATGAGTCCCCCACTATATAAATCGGCTTGTTTGGGGAAGAAGCATGCTCTGACCTGATAGTTACTTCAACAAGCTTCACGAGTCCTTCAGATAACAAAACTCTGCTCCATCAGCAGTATACAGAAACGTCTTGCAATTAATGAACAATAACAGCAATGTAGATCTTACGTAGTTAAATTTTTATGTGCAGCCACAAATCTATATGAATTCCCTAACAACTACAGGAAGTTAGATCAATGGTTCCAATATAGCTATATTCAGTTAGTTACGTCAATGTTGTAGTCAATACTCCAATATCAAAGAATTTACTTTATATCATTATTTTCCAGCTAATAGTCATATTCTTGTGATACATAACTAAGCAGAAATTTCCCGCTCAATTTCTCAGGGAATGGGCGACTGTTGTTTTCACACATCAATTGTCCACCATATTGAGGTAAATAACCAAGTTTTCCCCTCAAACTTGAAACACAGGATCACAAGTGAATATATTGGTTAAACAGCTCTACCATCGCAGTTGTTTCAATTTATCAGGGGAAAGATTGAGTATCGGAAGTTCTCATAAAACTGTATCCAGGTATATATTCCAGCCATTGAGAAAAAGTTTAAACCTTCGAACGGTGTTCGATCTTGAACAGGAATATGTAGGCACCGAACTTCAAAAGCCCTGCATAAAAAAATTGATACTTCAATGAACACTCAATTTACTTGCAACTTAAAGAAGTGTTTCCACTTGAAACATATTTATTATCCTAATGGCTAATACATAAATCAAATATAAAATGATAGAACATCTATCCTACATTGAACAACAGCAAACTTGAAGAATTAAAAGTGAAGCTTATACACGCTGGCACGGACATAAGAAAGCTTATACACAAAAAGTCAAAAAGTGATGCCCAGTTATTTCATATCAGCACGGTCAAGTTAAAGTATCTAATGTGTCTAAGTATTCTTAGTGCATTGGTATCTGACCTGCCATGAACAAGGTCATAATCTTTCTGCTCACAATCCTTAGTTATTAACCCAAGGTAATGCAAAACAATCAAAGCAGTTAAACTAAGCTAAATCCAAACCCATGGAAACCGATTTCTTATGGCACTAGCCACTACGTGATCACAAGCATGGCTCAAATCAATTCAGTTTGTTTCCAAGTAGCAACTATTATGTCCTTGTGCATTTCCATTGCCAGCCATGAAGTTCATGTGATATTAGATTGTTTTCTCAAGATGGAGAGCATGAATACAGAATTAGACTTTGAAAACATACTTGGTTGGATGGAAACACTCCAGCTTTGAATTGTTTTTCCTAGACTGTGTCCCCTTTTATATTTTCCAGTACTCAGGAATCAGGATGCGTTCACTTGTATGACCTCATTTTGAAAGTATTTTAGAGCAAGTCCTTTGGTTCTTGTAATTTATCTTCTTCTTTGATCAATGCTAATTGGGGTCTTTTTGCAGTATTTAGCAGATTGTCTAATCGTCCCCCCTTGGTTCTTTGATGAAATATATCTTATTCCGAGAATTTGACAATTGTAGTGTCCCTTTTTGTTTTATACGAAACTCGATTTTCTTTGAGACCCTGCCGATCTCTTGGGCAAATGAAGTCCACAAACTTATCAGGACCAACCATGTCAAGGGATATGCTTATCACGTTCAGCTTGAAACTCAAATGTCCATACGAGATGGAATGAAAGACTAATATACTCAAGAGCCAGCAACAAATTTCACGGACTATCAATTCAACAGAATGAGAAGTGAATAGCTTACTTCCCAAGAGCTTTATGGTGCATGATGAGGCCACATCCAGTGCCATCCGTTCCTACAGAGTACAGAACCAATATCAAATCCAAAAAAACATATCCCACTTTCAAAGATTAAGCATGCTATTGAGTATTGACACAAATAAACAAACATGTTCATTGATTTTTTTTTTTTTCTTTCCTCTTTGAATATATGAAAAGGGAGCTCAGAGAACTGTATGGATGCATTTTCTGGAGAAGAAAGAACTAGTTACTATAATTTTTTTTTTTTTAACAAGAATAAAACTTTTGATTGATATATGAAAAGGAATCTAATATCTTGAAAGATACAAACTCCAAATGAGTGAGAGAAACATATCAACATTTTGAGAGGTTTAAAATTTTTAGTCTGTTTTTCAAACACAAAACCAGAAAACACCTCAATTTCCCAAGTTATGAACTTGTTAGCTGGCGTGAAATAGTTACCAGGCAAAAACAGAAGAACTGGAGAACCCTTTAATGGAGATCCAGATTCAAGAGGACAAAACCAGCGAGGCGGACCACCATCAGAGTGCTGAGTAAAATCCTTAGCGGCATCAAAGTAATCTTTCACAGTCACAGTCCCATACCCGTCATCCCAAGATGGCTCCAACTTTACAGCAGCATTATCTCTCTTCATGATCTTCTTCTCCGAAGCTTCAGACTTCAACCACCCATTGCCCTTTTCAAATGAAGACCAACTCCCCTCCTTCTCCCCAACCAGAGAAGCTCCATTCACCACAGCTGAAACTGAATCAGCTCCATCTTCACTCCTAACTAGCACTCGCCATGAATTCTTACTGCGTTGAAATGAAGCAAGAAACGGCGACACCCCAACGCTAAAACAAGCTGCCATGGCTTCTGAAAGTAATGAGATAAAGCTAAAAACAGAGCAACTTCAAGATTCAGCACTTCCCAGAATAGCTTATATAAAGCAATCATTCTGATTTCAGAAGGAGAGAGAGAAAATCCCGTAGAACTCTTGAATTAGAACAACCAAACCAACACGTTCTGTGTTGGGCTGAAAACAGAGTGAAACGCGATAAATTCGGTAGCAAAAACGGGTAACTCAAAACAAACCCAGATAGCTCATCCGAAAGTTCAAAATCCCTTTGGAACACGTAGCTCAGAACTGTTCCAAATTAGACAAAAAACAAAAACAAAACAGTACTGTCTGCGATGTTTCAGCGCATTCGTAATTGAGTAATGAGGACCATGTGCGTGATGGCATGAATCATTTTTGTACATAAAACATTAAAATTGAAAAAAGCGAACAGAAAAAGTACCAATAAAGTACAAATTACGAGGGGGGAAAAGGGAAGTGAGTTTGAAGTCAAATAATGGAGGTTTTTTCACCTCACACAGGTCCCCCATTAGCTCTTGCGTAGCTCCTGCCTCACAAACGTGTCAATCCCTTTTTTCTTGACGACGAAGATTCGATAGAGAGAAACTAACTGAGTTTTTCAACATTTATGTATTGATTTTGAAACGGACTTCATGAATTGCGTACTAAGAGTAAGAATGAAAAGAGAAAAAAAAGGTTTTTTTTAGTTGAATTACTCATTATTCTCGATCTGAATATTTATGGTCGCAGATATATGGTTTTGGCAATACAATCGATGAAGTTATACCGCATACACCACTATTGTTACATGAGACAACAATACTAGAGGCAGCAACGAAAATTACAACCAAAAGTTATTTGCAAAAATACAAACATGTTGGGTATCGATAATTATTCACTAAAAACCAAAAATTGAGTCTTTGACAAAGTTTCATGGGAGCAAAGAGCGTACTTTTACTTCATCTCCATCCTCATCACATGCATTGTAGTGTGGTTGTAGTGAGATGGAATCATGAAGGGTTGAAAAGGACAACCAAAACTTATTTGCAAAAATACAAAGGTGTTGGATATAGCAAGTGCTTGGCTAAAGTAGAAAGTGTACTTTTACCTTTTTTTCCCATCCTTTAGATTACATCAACCAATTGTGATTTATTATAGCCAAATAGTTACAACTCAATCGTGAATTACTAAGACGCCTCCAACGAGCTTCATGCATTGTGAGTAGCTCTAGTGACACGATTAATTATAAGAGCGTTGCAACCATATATGACGTTGGCACAAAGTACAATAAGACTAATTGTATAATTTCCATGTTGACGGACTTTTGATCTCGAGCCTCACTCATGTATTTAGTGTCTGATCAAACTACAAAGATCATTTAAATCGAGATAATTTTATTGTGACTCAGTTGGCCTACAATCCTAGTATCTTTTTTGGCCCCACATAGTTAAGTTGCAATTCACCTAATAGCTTTTGATTCACTTGATTGAGTTACAACCCACGTGGTAACTATTGGTCTCACTCGTACTATCCAACGAGATTGATATGGATTCTAATCTCATATGAGTTATAATCCACCTAGTCATTTATAGTCTCACTTGGAAATGTGTTATAATATGATCACCATAATAGACTATAACCCACTTGACAACTTCTAGTCTCATTCAACTACAAATACAACCAATTACGATGGTGTGTGGCTTTTAGTTTCACCTAGTTAGGATATGATCTTCATGATAGATATTTAGTCCCTCGAATATCGAATCTCAATTATCGCATGATTATTTCTTTTTAATTTTATACATCACCAATGGAAAAGTTAGTGTTAAGGACTACGGTACCCCTTGTATCCTGAGTATCTCCACAATGGTATGATATTGTCCGTTTTGGACATAGCCCGCACGATTTTGCTTTTAGTTTCACCCAAAAGACCTTATTGACAACGCTATATCCTGAGTATCTTATATCTGATATTGTCCGCTTTGGGCATAGTTTAGGGCTTTGCTTTTGGTTCCACCCAAAAGACCTCATACAGATAATTGTCATTCCTAATATACCATGGATCACCATTTTTCTTAACCAATGTGTGATTTTATTTGCACTTCTTACAAACCCAACAGTTAGTATACAAGTTCGTATAAATAAAAACGCAACAGTATATATACTATCTCTATTTGCTTTTTTCATTAAAACATGAAATAGAATAATTTCAATGATTAAAAACCTACAAGCCAGATTGTCCATATTTGTTTGCTATCGCCAAAAAGCTCAAGTTAAAAGCAAATTACCAACTTCAAAAAAATCCTATACTTTTGCAAAAAAAGAAGGGGAAAACAAAGTCTCATCCACCACTTCTCTTTGCAACTGCCTCAAAAGTTTAGGCAATGAGAAGAGGTAGGTTTTTGTGCATTACCAAAAGAAAAAAAAAAAAGGAAGTATTAAATTTATAAGCAATGTTTCAAATTTTAGATCATGAAAATCTTAATTGTATTAGGACAAACTAGGGAATTATTTTTTCTTTTGATCATTTTTTATTTATAACATTTCTTTTAACTATTTACACCAAATAGCAAAATCACTGGATAGTTTTTAGTTTTGAATCCATTGAGTACTTGACAAAGGCAAAATATTTATCATAGATTAATTATTAAGGGTATCCCAAAAACGTCGACATCAAAACATAACTTCTAACTTAGTCGATGTTGAAAAAAATGAAAGAATTAATTATTTTCAAATCTATTTGGTTATTCTATTAATTCTTAACCTACAAATTTTATTTATTTATTAAAGATAGTAAAACTTTAAATACATCATTATGGAAATTAAAAGAAGTTTCTTTTTAAATATAAGGGCTAAATTGACATAATTTTAAAAATTCAGTTAATTATTAAAATAAAATTTTTTTAAAAAATTAAATAAACGTATTTCTAAAAGTTCAAGATTCAAACTTATAAGCTATAATAAATACATTTATTTATCCTCTGAATTTTAAAATTTCCAATCAACTCGTTTTGTTTCTTCCAATCATGTTCATAAACTTTGAATTATTACATTCTTTTGATCCCTGCTATTAAAATTTATTGCTGTAACAAGTGCATTGGACAAATATTAATTTATTTGATATAATTTGGTAACAAAACATCAGTTGAAGTAGCGAAAAAAAAAAGACATTAAATAGATACCATGCCAAAAAAAAAACTACCTCCCAAAGGAACTCTGGCATTCAAGTTACAGAATTCAATAAGTAAATGAAGGAGAGGAGCAGAATGGGGGCAAAATTTTCAAATGAAAATAAAAGAAAAGCTCTGTTCAGCAGTAGAGCACAAAGAGAGACCTCCTTTTTATTTATGAATAAATAAATAAAACAAAAATATAACCTTCACAACTTGGTTTTCTAAGACTAAAGTAGGTAAGCCACCATTCAAATCTACACAGCTTTCTGACATCATAACCCTAATATTTAGTCCCTCTCCCCAAATTTTCCATACTGCTGATTTCTCCTCCACAGTCAAAAAAATACATCCATGCCATTAAAACCCATGCCAAGCCTCTTCCTACTGCAGTATTTTTTGTAAAAGCTACACCTTGCAGGATAAAGATGAAGATCGAAAATCTATGGCGCCTGCTGCTTTACCTTCGATGAAATGATGACCAGAAAATTCTCGGCAGGTTCGAGAAACAACACGGAATTGAGAAATGGGTTGATGGTGTTTAGATATGCAATGCCTGGATAAAATGCTTTCATTCATATCAAGCACCCCAAGAAGAAGCAACATTCCCAGTTTCCTCAGCAAAAGAATCACCTACATGTTAACGGCACAAAAACAATCTCAAGAAGGTTACTGATATTAACCACCTTGGACTTCAAATTATGATAAAGTTTTATTAACGAGTTCTCCTTATGTAATTGTATTACTTTCTAATTTTACCTTTTCTTGAAGGTATTGAGTAGGAGCATTTTTTACTTTTTTGCTATGGTTAGTGATGTGACATCTAGAGTTTAGTGGGGAGACTACCTTAAGTCTTGCCATTAAGCTGTCATTAAGCTGTCATTAGTCATCAAGCTTTTCCTTTCAAGTTTAGCTAATAGCTACTTGAACTATTTTGCAATTCATGTTTTAAGTTGCATGTGATGAACATTCAATTAAGATTGACCATCCTATGTCTTGTAGAGCGTTTGACTCTTGGGCCAAGAAACTAGTGGTTTGTCTCAAGAGCTTTGATCTTCAGGTAACTTTTGTCTAAGCTAAACCAAATGAAGTTTCTTTCCCACTTTTTAATGAAGAAACCAAAAAGAAACCAACTTGAGAAGAAATGAAAGACTACCCGAGTTCCTTTTCCTTTTGAGGACCTGATCGATAATGTACATGTTTTTACTTCTTTCTTATCTTTTGTTTTCAATTTTAGAGAAGGACGTACTTTCAAAAAATGTTTTCCATTCTCCATTTCTAATCTTTTAATTTCTTATCTCCTATTTATTGGCTGGAGGCAACCTAAATGCACATGAATCGATAGAATAATACTTCCCCACTAGCTGCACTGCGCAGCAGCCCATTACTAAAAATTATTCAGCTATTATTTTTGGAAAAAATAAAAATAAAACTACTCCCTTCTCTCCCTCCCTCTCTACATCTTAAATAGTAAATGGTGGGAAGTATTTTCCCAATTGTCAATAGATAAAGAGTAGTGCACACCTGTTTCGTGCGTTCACCTGCTTTGAACCACTTTATAATTGAGGACCAAATCCTCTGGCTTCTTCCAGATGTAATTCCTAACTGTGGCTAAGCTCATATCAGGAGACAAGACCTGTAACAAAAAAAGAATGAATACAACACCAACAAGAACCAGAAGCTGTGTGTATAAAAATTCGAAATGCCTGGACTTTGAAATACTGAAACAACAAGCCCTAGAAGTCCATAATTTATATTCTGTATGTTGTTGTCCATGATCAATTAAGTGTCCCAGCTTTTCCATATTTTAAGCTCTTGAGAAACATACAGGAGACCTAATGCATTCCTCGTCTTCTTTGATCAGTAAGTTTATATAAATACTAGACACAGAGATACCCAGATATCTTCAGCACCCACGCTCATTCAGAAAGGTGAAAAAACAAAGGTAAACCTGACACTAGAAGCAGAATCTTTCACAGGACACCCACATTCATAATTCATTCATTCGGAAAAACTCAGTAGGACACGGTTTTCTTTTGATTAAAAACAAAGGAGGACTACGGAAACCAAACAATAAGGACTACAAAAGAACTGCTCAGCGCCATCTAGACTCAGTATCTTCTTTTTTTACAAGACATCATCTAGACTGATTTCTTGTTTTCAGAGTGGTTTATAAATAAGGTCGAAAAAATGGAAAATGAAACTAAAATATGATTATTGTTAACTTTTATCTAACAATTATATTGGATTTGTTCAAATTTTAACATTCTTAATTTTGATTTACATTTAACTTTAAAACAGATATCTAATACAAATTTGGTACTTATGTCTATTGTGTGTTTAAACGTGAGTTAAATAAGAAACCCCATGATGACACAACTCAGTTGGTACCACAACTCAAGCCACAAAATATTTTCTGCATTATTATTCTTCCGCACAGATGAGCCGATGTTACTTTCATTTACCTGATTGTTGCATAAGATTTCTATAGAAGGTTTAAGCTTTTGCCAAGGCTTTAATCCAGACCGAAATGATCCATCTCCAACGGTTGAAGAGAGTCCAGAACCAAAAGGAACATCCGGATTTACATTATCCAATGGTTTGTCAAGAACCATCTTCTCTATGACATAATTTACAACCTACATTAAATAGCAAAGGAAAAGGGGTTATATGAAGATCAAACTCAAAGTAACAACAAAATTACCATATTTAAAATTCTTCAACAGACGACAAACGACATTTCAGCAACAAGTAATCAAGTCACCATCACATGCAAACATCTTCTTACAATTGTGCCTAGGGACGTACTCCTCATCACACTTAAAGAATAAACCCTTTTTCTCACAAGGCCAAGAACTCTTTATTAGACAACTTAAGAAATTGCAAGGTTCCTTCATCGCGTGTCTGACTCTGATTTTGACAATGCTAGTGGTGCTAGTATCATTGCAGGTTGAGTTTAGCATAATGGATTGGATGAGCTTATCACATAGTTACCCTTTATGCAAACTTCGACTAAAGGAAGCTCCTGAAGGGGACCACTGGACACTTCTTTTTTTTTAACAAGAAACAAACTCTTCATTGATAATATGAAAAAAGAAGATAGAAGTTCAAGGATACAAGCTCCCAAAGGAAGCGAAAAAATAAATAGAACATAAAAACCAAAAACCCATGAAAAACATGAGATCTGAAGCCCAAGAAGTTGAACACTGATACCGATAAAGCTCGCCAATTCAAAGGGACGGACTGCTGAGGAGGAAACCAAAACCATCACTTAACACAAGCTGATTGCCAGAAGAAAAGAAATTGGACACTTTTTTTTTTGTGATATAAGGAATTCTTTCTCTAATCTTCTATTTAGCTCGTTGCTAGTTCCTTGACCTTCAAGGAGTACATATTATAGCAATCATGCATAGAGTATAATTGAAAGGAGTGAAACGAAGAGTCGCTTCGGCACTCGAGCATGAGGGAATGCTATATGTTTGATAATTTCTCTTATGATTGAATCTCATAGGAACTTTTATCCTCTGGTAGATCCAAGTCCATGGCCTTTCTACAGAGAAGGGATAAAGACAAAGAAAATAGATAAGGAACACAATTCCATGCCGTGCAAGACATCTTTTCCTACACTAAAGCATCAGATGCCAAGTACGTGGCTGACACTCTTGTCGTGCCCAAGTCTGAACCCTCATGCCAAAAAATCCTACCTAGCAACCTCTGTCCCTGTATAGTCCCCAATATGGACTGAATTCTAGTCTCTATTTGCAAGGCTGTGTCCATTTTTTGATTAGCCCATTGGGCTGAAGTAGCCTAAGTTCAACCTTAGCTTCAACCTTTATCCTACTCACAAATTGACTCTCAAGGATGAACTTAAGTACCCCATAGCAGGCTGCTCAAATTGACCATATTAGTCCTTCAAGGTGGTGTCCTGTAGGAGAGCAAGAAATTCCATACACATAGCACCCTACCCTCTAATATTTTTTCTATTTTATGGGGTATTTTGCTAGAAAGGAAGCATACCTTGTTTGGGGAGGGTGGAAAAATCTTTGGACTATGTTTGTGATATCGTTAGATTTAATACTTCATTATAGGGCTCGGTTTCTAAGCCCTTTTGTAATTATCCGTTAGGCCTTATTCTTTAGGATTGGAATCCTTTTTTGTAGGGGACCTCCTCTTTCAGGACTGTCTTTTTGTATGCCCTTTTTGTAGATCTTTTTTCTAGATCTTGTATCTTTTTGTATCTT